AAAAATAAAAAAAACTGTGAAATGACAGATACAAAAAGACAGTTAGCTAATAATTTTGCACCTTAAAAATAATATGTACAGAAGAAGTTTCTCCATTTTCCAGACTTCTTTCTCTCCTCCGTAGTCCTTCAACTTCCCTTGGGACTTCTTGAGTCTCTCCATCCATCTCTCAAATCATCAGTTTCTTTCTTCACCAACCCTCCCTTCTCCCCTCCCTCCCTCCCTCCCTCCCACTCCTCCGATTTCCTTCTCCCTCCTCACCCAGGTTTTGTCGTCTGCCACTGTGGCATGCTAACACTCTGACAATGCGGGGAGCTGAATAATTGATGTGTGGATGTGAAAGTTTGATGCCTGACTCGCGGGCAGATTGAACCTGCAGGCAGCTTGCCTTAGCCCATCAGCCGACTCCCTGCTCTCTGCGCCACTCAACACTCTCTTTTACACACACACACGCACGCACACGCACACACACACACACAACCACACACACAACACACACACACCACACACACACACACACACACACACACACACACACACACACACACACACCACACACACACACCCACACACACACACAGCGCTCCCAATAGACTCCTCCACTTCTGCTCTCAAACTCATTGTAAAACCTTTCAGATATTTGCTGCAAGATTCTGTAACTGTTACGTATAGATTTTGACCTGGACTTTAACCAATACTTGGCGAAGCACCTTTATGATACAGGTGGAATAAACTTTATTTTCTGGAATAAAGAAAATATACAGCTCAAGTTCACAACATCACCAATGTGTTGAAAGAGGAAACAACATTTATTTTCATGATTATATTCAAAGCATCAAACCAAATGCCAGTTATAGAAAGGTGGAGTATACCAACCCAGTCTCACAAAAAAACGTGTAATAACTACGTTGGTCCACAACGTAGGACGTAGTATATCTACAAAAACGCCTCTGAAATTGTAAGATGTCTACGTTTTTTTTCACCATTCATTCCAATGGCTGGCTTCTATGTCACGTGATCTTCAAATTTCTCCCTGCAGAAAAAAAAACATGGCCGAACTTCGTTTTATTCTCGGTGTAAAATGCCTATTTTAAGGTTAGTTTGGTCATTAAAATGCGTTTTGATGTCATTTCATGCGAGAAATATGAGTTGTTATTTAAGATTATGTGTGCAGTGGGTGTACATGATCTTTAGTTTGCTAGTTATTACGAAGATTACTTCAGGAAATTGTGTCCATTCAACGTTTTCATTGTTACCAAGATGGTTGCTAGGGACGCTGCTATCGATATTATTTCTGTTATGTTGTGTAAAATGTTGTTATCTTTATTGCTACCCCCTTCCCCGTCAATGTATAGTGTTGGTCCACAGTGCAAACGTAGGCCTATTAGTTTAACAAAATCAAAGGTACAAGCTAGACTTTTATTTAGCATCTCAAAACACATCGGACCGGCGGAGACAGGAAGTCCGGCTCACTAAAATGTCCGTGCAGAACAATACCCTGGCCTAACCCATAGATCCGTGGGTGAATAATGTCAATCACCACAATAGATACGTTATTTTCCGTTACCAACACCGTTATTAGTGTTGGTCCACTGCTTTTCTCTTTGAAAGTCATCACATAACGGCATTGTAATACACGGTTCGGCTGCATTAAATGTTACATATCTGCTGTAGTTCTCTATTTATAGAGCATTGATGAGACAAACATGATGAACTGGAAACGTGACATGGATCATAAATATATCAGTAATTAAACAACATCTTACATTTATTTTCACACAATACATCTCCTTGCAGTATCAACACTAATTCGGCTGACTTTTATATTTGATCCAATTGGTAGATAGGCTGTATTTACACCATAAACGTGCACACCTGATATAAAGGGACACCTAGTGGTTAAAGCATGTTATTGAATTTCATAATTTTTATTATTAGACATTAATATAATCCCTATAAAGTATGTTCATTACTCATTATTCTCTACTAATAGTTAATTAAAGACTGTATATAATGACTATTTTGCACATCCCTTTCAAGATTTTCTAAGGTTTATTGACATATTCACAAATGGTGTAGTTATGCAATGAATGTAAAACTTTGTGTATACCTCCAGGAATGTTAACTATGTTGAAGCACTTATTTTAACTGATATTATACATATGTATTATACTCTTATAAGATGTAGATAGTATAAGAAATGTGCAGAATATGACAATTTAATGGTGGAGGTATACAAATATTGAAAGATGTCTTGTGATGCACTGTTGAGGAACCTGTGACCCAAGTTTTTAATCTCCGGCCTTGTCAGGTATTGAACAATCAATAAATAAAGAACAGAGAATTATTAAATATAAAACACAGAATTTGTGTGATTATACTAAATGATTTACAAATAAACACCACTGCATATGTACAACTATACACATGCTGATGTAATGCAAATGTTTCCAACTTGGGATCAATAAAGTATATCTTATCTTAAGCTGATCGATGGCTACTGCCAGATTTGCAAAATGTGCCTCTGAACCTTGACAAGTGCATGTTTCAGGCTTATCAATGAACAACAGGAGGGGTCACAGACATAAGACCAGCTGTTAAATAAAGCTCTTCTGACCTTAGCTGTCGTGTGGGTATATATTAATGCTGCCCATTGGGCACAAGCAATTTTCACCCATTTATTAATTATATTTTTTTAAATGTGAGTGTTTCCTATCCCCTAAACCTCCAAAATCAAATCAAATCAAATCTAGTTTTATTTATATAGCACATTTATAAACGATTTTTGGTCGAGCCAAAGTGCTGTACATATAATAAAAATTAGCCTACAGTAGAGACATTTTACAGCAAATACAACAGCACAGATTGTTCAGAATATCAGTATGAGAAAAACGACACCCTCTGTCCTCCAGGGATGTACACAGTTTAATACTGGCAACTTCTTATTATGGGAAATATGAAAACGTCTTTTAAAACTACAATTCCCAGTAGAGACGTGCCAGCATGTGTAGTTCTGGGGACGGGGTGGGGGAGGGGGGGATGCGGTGGACCCGTTCAAATCCAGTTTTGGACAGTCTGCCGTGGTCCCATCCCATTTCATGGGTATTGTTCTGCACGGACATTTTAGTGAGCCGGACTGCCGGTCTTCGCCTCCCGGGCATGAAGCTGTTTACATGTGTTTTGAGATGCTAAATAAAAGTCTAGCTAATAACTAATACGTTTGCACTGTGGACCAACACTATACATTGACGGGGAAGGGGGTAGCAATAAAGATAACAACATTTTACACAACATAACAGAAATAATATCGATAGCAGCGTCCCTAGCAACCATCTTGGTAACAATGAAAACGTTGAATGGACACAATTTCCTGAAGTAATCTTCGTAATAACTAGCAAACTAAAGATCATGTATTGTACACCCACTGCACACATAATCTTAAATAACAACTCATATTTCTCGCATGAAATGACATCAAAACGCATTTTAATGACCAAACTAACCTTAAAATAGGCATTTTACACCGAGAATAAAACGAAGGTCGGCCATATTTTTTTTTTCTGCAGGGAGAAATTTGAAGATCACGTGACATAGAAGCCAGCCATTGGAATGAATGGTGAAAAAAAAACGTAGGCATCTTTCAATTTCAGAGGCGTTTTTGTAGATATACTACGTCCTACGTTGTGGACCAACGTAGTTATTACACGTTTTTTTGTGAGACTGGGTTGAGTATACAGTTTGCTCAACATTTGACCCCTTTATAAAGCAGACATTGGACCCACTGGCACATTAACAGAACCTCACTGCATATAATATGGAGCATAATACAGCGCATAAAGTGAATATCATTTCAATATGGATTGCTGCGCAGGATACACGAGACTTTGGTATATCATTTCACTTGATTTATCACATGAAGAGCCAATTTCTCTTGTAATGTCTAACCAGGAAATGTATTTTTTAATATTACCTTCATAAAAAGGAGACTAGAGGTCCGGATATGGTTATACCTAGACAATACATTTCTCCTTGACAGCTACATTCCCCCCTGCAGAAGACATGCAAAAACAACACTTGAGAAGTCACTAAGTGCAGTGTGTGCAAGACTTGGGAATTTAACTGTCAGTAGCAGTTCACGTAAACTTTAATTACACTTGACTCATATTTCCAAAGTTATAGAATCTGCTATATCCATCAATAAATCAGAATCGATCACTTTAAGTACTTAAATAGAAACTGGATAATTAAAAAATTGATTTAGTAGGATATTAAAAGCACATTGTCAACAAAAAACTGGTTAACCAATGTTTGACATAAGAACAACCAGTGACTGTATTTATAATAATAAATGAAAACTAATGTTTTTAGCATCATCCATATTTAGTACCTGCAGAATTTAAAGATGAAATCCAAACTAGGCTATATTTAGGACCAACATATTTTCTTATGCGGTTAAAAATAACTTGGTCAGCACTTTTAAATGCCAGGACATCATTATGTTTACATGCATGCTCACATTGATTTCTTACAATACACTGTATCACATTTATCATGGTGGTTTATACTAACGTCAAAGCATCTCAGGTTATCTCTAGTCATTGTATCAAAGGAGGAAACATATTTACTGTGACTGTGGGCAAGCTTACCACAATGCAGTATTTTCAGTGAGGCATTTCAAATGTTACATTTGGGCAGCAACCAAAAATTGATTTCATTATAATTAATCTGCTAAAAACCTTCAAAATTAATTTAGTATTTTCTAGAAAAAAAAAAATCTTAAACTCATATTCGTTTCTGTTGTTTTATCTGACTAGTGTACACCTTAAGGATATTCAGTTGATGATCAATCTACACAAAGAAAAGCTACACATTCTCACATTTGAGAAGATAAAATCAATTTTAATTTGTGAAGGTGAATTAATTGGTTATTGATTGAATGTTAGCTCTTTTTTCTCCATAAAGAAAGTTTCAGAACATGCAGAGAGGGCTGCCGCCTGACACGGTGATTTGGGGGATAGTCTAAATTCCCAGCCTCCCTGAACTGTCCAAAGTGGGGAACACTTCAACGTGGATATCTGTCGGACAGGTAAGAAACATGATGTCGCCACAAAATATTGCAAGTGTTAAACATGTCAACAAAACACAGTAGACACTAGTAGGTAGCCACACAATCATTACAATTGTACGAACATCCTTCCCTACACGCGGGAGCATTGTTATTAATATATAGCATAACACTTGTTTACAATGAAATACATGCACGAGGCTTCAATGAGAGCCTTTAGCAAGCTAGCACATTGTCTTGCTGCACTACCTCACCTGATTCCAGTGTAATATTTAGTAAAACTGCGATTGCACACTTCTATAGGAAGCCTGAAGTTATCTGTGTAGTTTCCTAGAACTAGAACTGCTGCTAGATGTTAAGAAAAAACACATTTTGCTAATCACGCCCTCAAGCATTAGATATCCAGCGCTTACATGCTTAGAGTTAAAATGCCTCGATTCAAACATTTTTTCTATAATCCACAAGGCCTCCTAAGTGTTTGTGCTACTTTAAATATACTGTGGAAATTACTGTTTATAGCCCCAGGATTTGTGTCTCGTATTTCTCCCTCAGGTCAGAACTGAAATGGGCCGAAAGTGCCTCCATGAATTTCATTTTAATGGAACTTAGAAGTGGCTTAAAGCAGGCGCCGGTCTCCAGGTGAGTTTAGCCTGTTAGTGAAAAATGTTACTGCTCACTCAATGTGTCCTTGTTTTGTTCAGATAAGATTTAAACCAGGCTTGATTTGTATGAACTTATGAAACATTGGAACACATGAACAATTGACTTGTTTGTCAAGCATATTGCTGAAGCTAATTTGTAATTTTTCAAGCAAAATTGTCAAAATATCATTGGTTCCAGCTTCTTGAGTGTGAAAATGTGTTGTCTCTCTTTGTCTTATATGATAGTAATATATTTTGGGTTATGTATCTTCAGTTAGGCAAAACAAAATGATTGTTGGTTGCAGTCCTGTTTTACAGTGTTCATTGTGTGTTTGTTATGCATGGTGAAGGCATCCTCGTGCCTCCCTCTCCCCGCTGTATGTGAATGTGGACGTGTCATGGAGGAGACGTTAGGGCCCTGCCTGCTGATTTATTCATGATATGACTTTTAATATCATTTACTGGGACATGGGAGTCTGCATCTAAAACAGGCCTGCAGGCCCCTGTGTGTGCATGTGACAGACAGAGAAAGAAAGACTGCACTTAACATGCACATAGTGAACGTGTGTGTGTGTGTGTTTGGTTGGTTGGTTGGTTGTGTTTGGTTTGGTCAGGTTGCTTTGTTTGAGGAATTCTCATTCGTTGGTGATGAAATCGAGACAAATTGTGTTGGTGGCAAAGTGTATTTAGACAGCGAAGAGGCGTACCTCGTGATGATTGCCTATAGAAGGGTTGTGATTGAGTTATCGGACAACAGTAGGAAGTCATTGTGTAATGGGCCACAGCCAGCAATGGGGGCTGATACCAATCTGTTAAGCAGCATAGGGTGTGGAGAGGAATGTAGGAGGAGGTGTGTAGTTTCTGTGGTGGATGACTGTGTTGTTAGCCAACATGCATGCGCGTGTGTCCTTCCATTTGATTTATTGCTATATATGTCGGCACACGTTTTGACAGTCAACACAGCCAAGTGAGCTATTGTAAAATCAGTTTAGCCTGTTGAAATCTGTGTTTTGTTCTTACTATAGGGATATATATTCGAATTAAATACCACTAAGACATATTACACACATATATTTTGTCAATTAGCGCAGTATGTGAAGAGTTTTTTTCTTTTCTCTAACCATACCTATTAGTGACTATAATTAAATGATGAGGAATAGGTGGGTGGATGGAACAGGAGGCGGACAAAGAAGGGGGAGGCTGGAAAGCGTGATTTAATTTGGTTATGATCTAATTTGCTTTGATTAAAAATGTATGCAAATCCCTCTTAGCATAAGGGATCAGTGAGAAGAGGGCGACACTTCTCTTGCTCTCTCTCTCTCTCACACTCCCGCTGTCACCCTCCTCCTCCTCCTCTTCTTCTTCCAGTCCTTCTCCTCCCTCTGTCTGTGGCCACTAAAGTGAGATGTGTGAATCGCAGAGTGCAGTGTGTACATGTGTTGTTGGAGGTGTGTTCTTTTGTCAAGCGATGAGAGGAGCCCACTCACATTGGGTGTTATTGTACCTCATATCATTGGCTGAAGATCTGCTACAGGCTGGCTCTGGGTGTGAAGTGTGTGTGTGTGCGTGTGTTTTTGTATTTATGTGTGTGTGTGTTTGTTTGTTTGGCCTGACCCTGTCTGCTATTGACTTTGCCAAGCCGCCCCTGTCTCCCAGAGGTTGATCCTCCCCACAGTCTGACACTGAAGGTCACACTGCCGAACGCTATCTCCTTTTTCCTGTTCCCTTCAAAAAAATTTCATTTCTTGTTGACTTTCTTTCCTTCTTTTTGTTTACACGTTGAAGTCACACAACCTTACCCTCTCCTACGGCTGGGCAATATGGAAAAAAAATCAGCTATCACAATATTTGTTATCAAATACCTCGATATTGTTGGCGTGGTATTTGATTTTTTGTAATCAATAATCAGTATTTATGTTGATATAATGTCTTAGTTGGTAAAGGCAAATAATAGGACAGCTTGAACAGTCTGTTCTGACTTTTCTGTTATGCAGCCTTTAAAACTAGGAAAACACTCTTGTGATATTACAATGTCCAAAATCTGAGACAATATCTCGTCTCATATCACGATATTAAAGGGGCACAATTTCCTGTAGTGTGTTACATCGTTTTTTTGTGCATTGAAGTGGTCTGCAAAGGCAACAATCCCTGTTTTTCCTCCAGTGGGACCCACACACTCCCCCCCCCCCCCCCCCCCCCCCCCCCCCTTACTTGATATCAGAATCAGAATACCTATATTCGTCCAACAGCGGGGACATTTACATTTTTTAAAGCAGAAAAGAGCCAAAGACAGCTTCATGTTAATTAATAAGCATGCATAACAAATATATTAAAAATACAACAAATAAAAAATGTTACACAATTTACAAAATACACATCCTAAGATATGCCTTCATTGGACTCCTTTGTTTACTTCTGTAACATAGTGAGTGCAGAATTAGTGAATATGTCTCCGAGTGAAGAGGCTGGCATTGCTTTGGTACCATGGATTCGGGGTTTGGTGCCTTGCTCAAGGACCAATCGGGATTTAACTGGCATCCCTGCGGTTCCCAAGCCAGATTGAAAATGTATCTCCACTGTGGAAGTTTTTTCTGTGTGTGTGTGTGTTAGGGTTGTATCCGAATATTCGTTCGTTGGAGTACTATTCAGGTTTCAATTTCGTTATTCGGATAGTTTTTTTTTGTTGAATTTATAGAAATCTCCAATGTCAACGTAAGAGCTTGTGCCTCTTCGGGGGGTGCTAACACTTAACCATAAATGTTATCGTTTACTTTCTCCGTCTTTATATGTAGATATTACTTTTTCTCCATTAATCTCTGTCACGTTGTTTCCATAGCAACAACTGTCAACAACGCTAACTCTCCTTCAAAATAAAAGCATGTCCATACAAAATAGGAAGCCAAGCCAAATTACACTTAAGACATATACAACTGCAACGAAAGTAACAAACACAATGCAATATCCTTTTCAATTTCAAAGAACACAAATTGGGTTATACATTAACAAATAACTATAAAACAACAATACTGTAGAATAACAAAAAGAATGCCGTGAATAAACTGAAATACACGTGTCGAAGCGGTTCGCTGCTGATTACTACCGAATATCCGGAGCCCGAAAAATGGTATTCGGGGCAGCCCTAGTGTGTGTGTACGTGTGTGTTTAACCTGCTACGCTCCACTCTGTTCTATTGTGTCTGTACGAGGAGCCGGAGCATCTAGGTAACTGCATCTATTAGCAGGGGAGCTCAGAGTATTCACGCCACTCTCCATTTCTTCCCGTCTCTGCACTCTCTCCCAGCCTGTCAGCACTGCCTATCCAAGTTTACTGTAATTAACTCTGTTTTGCCTCTGTGCTCCTCTCTCTTCTCTCTTCTCTCTTCTCTTCTCCTCTCATCCTCGCACCAACTTCAGCCAATCAGATATTTAATCAGACATCCAGGCAGCCGGCGTATCTATCAGTGGTCCGGCTTCAGACAGAGACTCAGTTAGTCTGACAGCTGTCATGTCAGGACGATGACTGGTAGGTTGGTCAGCATCTCTAAGCCTGTGAGTCAACTAGATAGTCAGTAAAGCTATGACATGTTCTCAGTTTCAGTTATGGCGCATTTCCACTGCAGCGGGTAGCCCCGTTTAAGCATCCTTAATCGTCCTCAACCGGCCAGGCCAGTTTTTGGTGGCCTTTCCATATAGCGTAGCACCGGCTAGCGGGTACGTGGTTCTATCAGGCCAGGGCCAGGGCTGAACTAGTGACGTCAACACTCTCGACTGCTGATTAGTCAGAGAGAATCGTCACAAGATCGCGCGCGAGATCATCCCTAGCGTCGCATATATATCTATAAGCAAGCTTGCAGCATTTTTATACACAGCATTTTTTGTAAACGGAGGAGCTACAAAAATGACAACTTCAAAGAAAAGCACACCGTGGTCGACCGAGGAGGTGACGACGTTCCTACATCTCATTGGGGATGATAAAATCCAGCGGGAGCTCGACGGAACAACTCGAAATGTGAAGCCGATCGCCCCGCCTACACTGCGTTGCTAACCCAGGTCCTAAACTGTAATGGAAATGCGCCACGGCCTCGGACGGCCAGCGAGGCAGCCCGAGGCCTGAGCGAGGACGCTTAGGGACGCTTAAACGGGGCTGCAGTGGAAATGTGCCATTAGATTAAGGCATCAGAGCAAAGTGTACCAAATGCCTTTCTGTCTTGGCCCTTGGAGACTAAACATTGTGTGGGGTTTACTTGCTTTACTTTCCTGCAGGAGGGGAAAACACTCTTTGAATGAAATAATATGTTATTTTTTTTATTAGTTTTAATAATCCACATAGCGGTTTCAGTGCAGATCCCCAGCTAACTTTACGTTCATCGGTACTCTTGTGGAGCTCCCGCTCCTCCAACTCTCTTTACAGAGTTTTACAATCTAGTGTTTTTCCTCCTTTATTTTGCCTTTTGCTTGCAAATTCCAGCATACATTTGGCAGATGTTTTTTTTTCCTTTCTGTTTTGGTACAGGGACACATTATAATTTATTCTCACAGGGATTCTGGGGTTGACGAGCTATGCAACTGCCTTTTTATTTTGATAGTTGACAGTGTACAGATTGACAGGAAACATGAGGAGAGAGAGTAACCAGGACACCTCAACTATGTCATTTCAAAGTGGATTTCTCTATCCCCCAACAAGGCTGATTCCCAAAGCCCCAGGTAACATGACAAACTATGCTTCTTATGCGTAATATATTATTTTCTTGCTTAGCCATGGTCAAGGCTCAACAATCTGGACCAAAGTCACACTATTCTGATCAATATAGAGATAATCATTTATCACAAATATTCATGATTTTGAAAGAGAAAATAATTGTATGGCACTTTCTTAATATATAAAAGCACTGCTTTCACTTCCATGTTTAACTGCACGTTTTGCACAACATTCAATTAAAAGAGCACTTTCACGGTGTGTTCCTTTCCTCCTAATTGACACGTTTTTGCATCAATATAA